TGTTGAAGCACCTTTGGCAACGATTACAGCCTTTAGTCTTCTTGGGTATGACGCTACAAGCTTGGCATACCTGTATTTGGGGAGTTTCTCCCATTCTTCTCTGCAGATCCTCTCAAGCTCTGTCAGGTTGGATGTGGAGCGTTGCTGCACAGCTATTTTCAGGTTTCTCCAGAGATGTTAGATCGGATTCAAGTCCGGGCTCTGGCTGGGACACTCAAGGACATTCAGAGACTTGTCCCGAAGCCACTCCTGCGTTGTCTTGGCTGTGTGCTTAGGGTCGTTGTCCTTTTGGAAGGTGAACCTTTGCCCCAGTCTGAGGTCCTGAGCGCTCTGGAGCAGGTTTTCATCAAGGATCGCTCTGTACTTTGCTCCGTTAATCTTTTCCTCGATCCTGACTAGTCTCCCAGTCCCTGCCGCTGTAAAATATCCCCACAGCATGATGTTGCCATCACCATCCTTCACCGTAGGGATGGTGCCAGGTTTCCTCCAGACGTGACTCTAGAGCTCTGTCAGAGTGACCATCGGGTTCTTGGTCACCTCCCTGACCAAGACCCTTCCCCCCCGATTGCTCAGTTTGGCCGGGCAGCCAGCTTTAGGAAGAGTCTTGGTGGTTCCAAACTTCTTCCATTTAAGAATGATTGAGGCCACTGTGTTGTTGGGGATCTTCAATGCTGCAGAAATATTTTGGTACCCTTCCCCAGATCTGTGCCTCGACACAATCCTGTCTCGGAGCTCTACGGACAATTCCTTCAACCTCATGGCTTGGTTTTTGTTCTGACATGCACTGTCAACTGTGGGACCTTATATAGACAGGTGTGTGCCTTTCCAATCAATTAAATGTACATTTTACATTTACATTTTAGTCATTTAGCAGACGCTCTTATCCAGAGCGACTTACAGTTAGTGAGTGCATACATCTTTTTTTTATTTTTCATACTGGCCCCCCGTGGAAATCGAACCAACAACCCTGGCATTGCAAACGCCATGCTCTACCAACTGAGCTACATCCCTGCAGGCCATTCCCTCCCCTACCCTGGACGACGCTGGGCCAATTGTGCGCCGCCCCATGGGTGCCACAGGTGGACTCCAATCAAGTTGTAGAAATATCTCAAGGATGACCAATGGAAACAGGATGCACCTGAGCTCAATTTCGAGTCTCATAGCAAATGGTCTGAATACTTATGTAAATAATGTATTTTTTTTTTTTTTTTTTTTTATTAATTACTAAAATAAAATAAAAAAATAAAAATTGAATACATTTGCAAACATTTCTAAACACCTGTTTTCACTTTGTCATTATGGGGTATTGTGTGTAGATTGCTGAGATTTTTATTTTATTTAGTACATTTTAGAATAAGGCTGTAAGGTAACAAAATGTGGAAAAAGTCAAGGGGTCTGAATACTTTCCGAAGGCACTGTATTATCCATTATTTGCACTGGTTTACACCAGTTTAATGGTGAATTTATATAAAGGTTAATATGATGAGGAAAGTTTTACAGATAATTTCCTGCAATTCTACCCATTTTGCCATAGGGTGGAGAGAAATGTTTGATGACTTATGCCATATGTGATAGTTTGATATTTGCGTAAGAGTGACTAACAAAATCTATGGGGGCCCCCTTGAGGTCAGGGCCCCTTGGTACATGCCCTTTGTGCCCGGTCAGTAATAAGTGTAGATATCTGGCTACACTTACTTACCAATCTAAAATCTTGCTTAGGGGGGGGGGGGTCCAGTTACATGCATAAATGAGCTAGCAAACTTATAGGCCTAACAATATCCTGTAATTACTTCTTAACGGAAGTGAACAGTCTTATACTACAGTTAACAGTCTGGTTTTTGTTGGACTTTACTGTTGTTCGATGGTGCTGGGGGTGGACCTTCACGATGCTGACACCAAGGCCTTACACCATCCACCACACCATCATGTCATATTGAATGAACTCACACATTGTAGTAATAACAGGCTAATATTAATAACAATAATGATCAGTAAATTATTATCTATAATATGGATGTGGTCGTGTTCTTTGTAGATTAATGACTACAGTCGTATTTTGACTAAATGGAGTTAGCTCCAACAGGCTGTATTAGGTCCATCACAAAAACTTGACTTGTCTTCGTTGCAAATTTGAAAAAAATTATATAATAATTGAGCTAACATGCACAAATTATAAATGTATCGCAGACCAACTAACTCATGACAGCTATATCTCCAAGCATCTCAAATTAATGCTTCGGAATTATTTAGAAAGCTACGAATTAAACAAAATATTTGGTTGTCCAAGATGATCAGGGGTGATAATCAAAAAGATTTGTCATCAACATCCGGCGGGAATCCTCATCTACAAATAGTTTCTGGCCTGCACACGCTGGTGCGCGTTCGAGATCACAATGAAAATGGTGAGTAGCCTCATGATAATCAAACAGTAGCTAACTAACGTTACACTTAACTGTTTGTCATTGGGTCAACTGTATCCTAATACCAAATACTTTCTTATGTTGGACATTTCCAAAAATTAGGCCTATAACTTTTCATTTAAATGAAAGGTAGACTCAGCGATAAGACGTAGGCTAGATGCAGAAAGTAAACAGAATAGTGGGTACATTTTGTTGTATTTACAGACAATCTATCTCTCCCTGTCTGCTGTCCCCACTTGCTTCAAAATGTCAACTATTGTTCCTGTACCCAAGAAAGCGAAGGTAACTGAACTAAATTACTATCACCCCGTAGCACTCACTTCTGTCACCATGAATTGCTTTGAGAGGCTATTTAAGGATCATATCACCTCCAACTTACCTGACACCCTAGACCCATTACAATTCGCATACCGACCCAACAGATCCACGGATGACGCAATCGCCATTGTACTGCACACTGCCCTATCCCAACTGGACAAGAGGAATACCTATGTAAGAATGCTGTTCATTGACTACAGCTCAGCATTCAATACCATAGTGCCCTACAAGCTCATCACTAAGCTCAGGGCGCTGGGTCTGAACCCCTCCCTGTGCAACTGGGTCCTAGACTTCTTGACGGGCTAAGGCCGACCCCAGGTGGTGAAGGTAGGCAACAATACCTCCACCACGCTGATCCTCAACACGGGGGCCCCACTGGGGTGCATGCTCAGCTCCCTGCTGTACCTCCTGTTCACCCATGACTGCGTGGCCACACACATCTCCAACTCAATCATCAAGTTTGCTGATGACACAACAGTGGTAGGCCTGATTACCACCAACGATAAGACAGCCTACAGGGAGGAGGTGAGAGCCCTTGCAGAGTGGTGCCAGGAAAATAACCTCTCCCTCAACGGCAACAAAATGAAGCAGCTGATCGTGGACTACAGGAGACAGCAGAGAGAGCAAGCCCACATCCACATTGACGGAGCTGCAGTGGAGAGGGTCAAAAGCTTCAAGTTCTCTGCGTGCACATCACTGAGGACCTGAAATGGTCCCTTCACACCGACAGCGTAGTAAAGAAGATGGACGCAACAGCGCCTCTTCAACCTCAGGAGGCTGAAGAAATGTGGCTTGGCCCCTAAGACCCTCATAAACTTCTACCAATGCACCATCAAGAGCATCCTGTCGGGCTGTATTACCGCATGGTACGGCAGTTGCACCACCCGCAACTGCAGGGCTCTCCAGAGGGTAACGCGGTCAGCCCAACGCATCATCGGGGGCACACTGCCTGCCCTCCAGGACATCTACAGCACCCGGTGTCACAGGAAGGCCAAGAAGATCATCAAGGACCTCAGCCACGGCCTGGTAACCCCACTACCATCTAGAAGGTGGAGACAGTACAGGTGCATCAAAGCTGGGGCCGAAAGACTGATAAACAGCTTCAATCTCCAGGCCATCACTGTTATACAGTCACCTCTAGCCGGCCTCCGCCCAGTACCCTGCACTGAACCTCAAACACAGTCACTAGCCGGCTACCACCCAATACCTTTGAGACTGCTGACCTATGTACATAGTCATTGAACAATTTAATAATGTTGACATACCATTTTACCCACTTAATATGTATTCTAGTCATGGCTCATCCTCTATAACTACTGCTATACACTTACATATATATTTATATTCCACTCTGCTCCAGAAGCTAATTTCCTGCAATTCTTTCTATTTTACCATGAGGTGTTGTACTATTGAAATATTGTGTTCTCGACATAACCCATTCTAATACTGTACATTGCGTTTTAGTTGCACACCACATATTTATATACTGGATTCTTGACATAGCTCACCATCTACTGCTGTACAGATCATTCTTAGTAAATTCATCCAGTGTATATACACAGATTGCATTTGGATTACTGTTACAGTGCTAGTTGGGTTCTTAAATTGGATTAGTTCCGACATTTGATAAAAAAATTTAAACGTACTGTTCTACATTATGCTGTATTGTTAGGAGATTGTGAGTGCAGCGAAATGCTTATGTTACTATAACATCTGCTAAACTGTAAATGTTGATTTGATAAGAGCATTGAAGAGTGAGGCTTAACTTCTCCGCTGTTTTGGTACCCTGGCTCCCACGTTGTGAACAGCGTGAAGTGAACCCGTGCACATGCGCAGATACTATGTGTGACTGTATGAGGGCAAAGTCTTGCATCTCGCTCATCTCAATATCTGCGATGCTGCTTATGGCAATGTCATTTCACTGAGTCTTCCTTTAAGTAAATATATATTATTGATAATAAACAAGACTGAATTTGCAAAGTGGGACGATTGTTTATGAAAAGCTTGTTTTTATTACCCATTTCATAACACCTCCATGAAGACAGTTTGTACAAGATACATCACATACTAAAGTGCACAAATACTGTACAACAAAATGACCTTAAATAAAATCACATTTGTAAAAAATAAAATTAACTGGGGACATGCTTTACAAACAACAATTTGTCACAATGTATGTGTGTTCAGGTATGGGGGGGGGGGGGGGGGGGGACTCTGGCTGGGTAAGTAATCTGTGCAGCTTGCTTGGGAGCATGAAGCTTTGGCACCTTTAGATAAAAATTAAGAAAGGGTGTTTAAAAAAAAAAAAGGTAAGGGGAGCACTCAATTAAAAACTAAAAAGAATAAGATTTTAATAAATAGTCTTTTTAGGGGCTTGTGTAAAAGGCATAGTATCCCATGCCTTTGGGGTTGTCTTTGTTGAACTCTTCCGATGTGGTCAAGTTCTCACACTTGATGGTGGGGGAGTTCTCAGTGCTCGACCCACCAGGTGACATCCGGCGTCTCTTGCAGACCATGGAGTACACGCCCGAATCGGTAGAGTCCACAGATTTCAGCGAGTGGGACATCTCGATCCAAGTGGATGCTGCGGTGCTCTCCTCGGGCAGCTTGTCTTTGCTAACAGCCAGTTGGTCGTCTGTGAAGGCTGGGGGGCTGGGCCGAGGGGACCAGGGCAAGCCTGTGGTCATCTTTCTCTGGTAAGTGCTTCTGGTGCCCCAGCCGGCCGCCATTGAGGTGAAGGCCGAGTCGGGGTAGTAGCTGAGGGCGTGTGAGGTCTGGAGGGGCAGGGGCTTGATGCCGTAGGACAGTAGACTGCTGGCTGAGTAGTCCTGGTCGTAGGATAGGTCCAGCTTGTTGGAGCCCGTCTGCTGGACCGGGGTGACGAACCAACGCTGAGCCGAGCTGGCCCCAGCATCCTCAGCCTGGGGGGAAAGGAGACTGTTGGTCTGGGGCACGGCCCGCTCCCCGGTGTAGAAGCGGTTCTGGGGCAGGTTGTTGACAAACTGGTCCTGGAAGAAGGGCTGCATGGCATAGCGGGCACCCGGCACAATCTGGTGAGCGCGAGGGGAGGCTGTCGGGGAGGGGGTCAGCCTGTCACCCTCTGGGGCTGTGTACATCCTGTGGAAGAGAGAGACAACAAAAAAGGTCCAAGGATGAGTCATTTGCAAAAGAAAAACTAGTTCACACGAGAGACTAAAAGTAGCAGAGCAGAAAAAAATTGCCACAATACCGCATGCAAAAAAGGAAGCAAGTTATTGTTACTTACGAGTCATAGTTGTCTCTGAAGCCTTTAGCAAAGGGGTTGTGGTCGATTTTAAGCTGTGTGATCTGGAAAGGAGAGAATGTTCAAGCCATGGTCAGAAGTGTTGACAAAAACACATTTTATAGACAGTTAATATTCACTGAGTATCCAAACATTAGGAACACCTTCCTAATATTGAGTTGGCGGTGTCAAAAGTGTTCTACAGGGATGCTGGCCCATGCTGACCCCAATGCTTCCCACAGTAGTGTTAAGTTGGTTGGATGTCCTTTGGGTGATGGACCATTCTTGATACACATGGGGAAACTGTTGAGTGTGGAAAAACCCAGCAGCGTTGCAGTTCTTGACACAAACCAGTGCGCCTGGCACCTACTACCATACCCCGTTCAAAAGGCACTTAAATATTTTGTCTTGCCCATTCACCCTCTGAATGGCACACATACACAATCCAGGTCTCAATTGTCTCAAGGCTTGAAAATAATTATTTAACCCATCTCCTCCCATTCATCTACACTGATTTAAGTGGATTTAACAAGTGTCATCAACAAGGGATCATAGCTTTCACCTGGTCAGTCTATGGCAGGTGTTCTTAATGTTTTGTGTACTCAGTGTAGAAACTTAAAATCTTAAGCAGATCTGATATTTTTTATGTAGAGAAGATGGATCTTATCTACTTAAGATTTAAGTAGATTGATAGTAGTGGGCATCTTACATCTGTGTTCTGGTAGGCAGTGACTGCAATGAACTGGTTCTCTGGAAAGGTAAAGGTCTGTGTCTTGGCGTCACTGCCTATGTCCTCCACTCCCTCTTCTGTGACCTCCACGATGTGCAGCCGAGGCTGGTATTTGTGCAGAGACTGCAAGACAATCATCTACCAAAAAAAATAAAAAAAATAAAAAAAGAGGTGAATTCAAAGTTAGTGCTTGGGTTTCTCATGCTTTCAAAACAGTTACTGTGGTTGGTTATTTGGCACGTCACCAATTACATTGAGATTTTTGCCAATAGCACTGTCAAAATAAAAAATTAATATGGGTTTGGACTGATTTGTGATCTAGAACACCAAAGACAGCTTTTTAAAAAGTAGCCAAAGACATTTGAGTCACAATAAATAAATGACGGTGTAGGCCTCACCTGTGTGTTGTTATTATTTGCCCCCTTGTTGTTGGTCAGCTTCAGTTTGCCGAAGGAGATCTCTTGCCTCATCCAGTGAGCACCAGTGTTTGGGGATTCAGGATGAACATACATCTTGTTACCTGTGATTTAATAAATGATGTGGGACATAGAACATAAAAATATTAAGTACAATGCAGCACAAATGCAAAACAAAAATGTAAGGAATAACACTGATATTTTCCCTTTCTTAACTTGAACTTCTCTTATGTGTCAAACTCTATACATTTCCAAAAAGACCAGCAATTTGCCAATTTACCAAAAATAACTTGCAATCAAACTATTATTGAATCACATGCTCAGGATTTCAATTTTCAAAAGCAATCAGATGTGAAACTGGAGCTATTAGGCTAATATTTAAATATGGTTAAATTGCACAGGTAAAAAACAATTTTGGGGGAAAAATGCAAATAGAAGATTGAAGTTGACTATTTTCATGTTATTACAAACGTCTCATTGGCAGGCCATTTTACATCATATGAACTAAAAGAAGAAAAAGATTACTAATAATGAATTATAATTGAATCCGTTTTCCATTATAGATCAATGTCACCAGCTAACAATGTTTGAATGGTTGTCTTTTCTTTTAAAATGGGGATAATCAACCAACAAAAAACATTTATAGGTAATGTGATCGTGTGCGCTTTGAAACGACCAGAAACACAGCATAAATAGCCAGTTAATTGGGTGTAAACTTTAGAGAAATGTGTATTGACATCTAACGAAACGTTCCTAATTGACAGGCTATGCGTTATCGAAATATAATTTAATTTCCGTTAGTTGAAATGTGCTGCTTCTGTAGGCTATAGGCCTCTAAATACGTAGCCTACATTACAGGTGAATTTAATATTAGTCTCACCTTGCATGTTGTTGTCTGCTTTCCCACAAGTAACCCACTTTCCTCCTTGAAATCGCCAGTGATTTGGATCGGCCAACACGACCTCAACAAACACGTTGTAATGCGCGGTCAAGTTAAGTCCAGTGATGTTGAAACTGAGAAATGGAAACATCCGCCTGAAAGAAAATACATTTGATGCCACAATTATTGCAAATACAATTTCAAGGGTTTACTTAAACGAAAATTATCAGAGGGAGTCATTGCGTTCAAGAAAATTCGTAAGGTTAGGTCATGGCATGAACTAATCAATACTTTACACTTTCTTTTCCTCACTTAGGCTATTCCTGCATACAGTGCACGAAAATAAAAAAGGTTTTAAACATTTGTATAGCCTACATGTTTATTTGTAAATAATTATATGTCAAAGTCGGCATGTATGTGCTCTTCATAAAAATGATGTGTAAATAACATTTGTCAAAATATACGCAAATATGACACCGGAATATAAAGGACTATTGGAACATCACAGATGGGCGGATATTTAGTAGGCTAACCATCATCAAACATGACATTCCATCAACTTGTCTCCAACGCCTCTGCTCACCTGCCCTGTTTCGTGATGATCATCTCGGTCTGGAATCGGTGAAACTTGAGCCATAGGGGCCGGTTGCAGAGATAAACTTGAGCCCTCGTTCCCGGTGTGGACCCCGGGAGAGCCATGGAACCAATACCTGAACCCGTTCCCGGATAGGAGGGGTACAGGCAACCTGGACCCTGGCCGAACTGGTAGCTACTGCCAAACTGACTCCGGCTAGGGCACACGGAGGATGAAAACCCTGTCGGTGGCAGGACCGATCCGTAATGAAGGGAGGAATACCTGGATCCATTTGCCCCGCTGTACACTGTCCCAGTTTGTCCTGCGTATGGAAAGAGGGAACACTGATTTGCCACATCGGAGCTCGTCTGTGAGGAGGATATAAAGTATCTGTCAGTGCCAAGTTCATCTATGTTGTACCGCCGGCCAGTGGATTGGTCATCCTCACCGAGGACTGGTGAGCCTTTTCTTCCGTCTGGGGCAGCTTTAGTCCCGGTGAAGGCGTTGCCCTCTCCCTCACCCATCATGGCGTTCCCCACTCCGCTCAAATATTTATTGGGACCGTTACTTGGTTCGGATTCCGTCCGGTCAACTTCTTGATATTCGATCTGCGATGGCCCCGGGCTATTATTTGCACTATCTGATGACGAGAGGTTATAAAAAGTATTGGGTAAATTGATGGTTGATGCGCTGGGAAGAATATTCTCTAGCTGCATTATTTTTGAAATAGCAAACACTACAAAAATTAAAGGATCCAAAATAGGCTACAATCACCAAGACGCTACACCACTGCGCCCTGGTATGAGTCCTCGGTGTGCGGCTCTCCTCTGCTAACTAATGTTGACCTTCTCAGCTGCACCTACGAATTTACGCTCACTATACGATTATAATCTGCTCACGAATTGTTCAAGGGCTCTTATATGATCGCCTTATTCACACACCCAACTCATGGCAAGCGTCAGGGGAGGAGCTTTTGGGGATCCATGGAATAGGCTACAGCCCTTCCCATGCCAATTGGTTCAACTCACTGATTTAATTCAATTAGACATAGTTACCCTATGTCAATTATGGTAGCCTATTTTAAATCCATTGCACAGTTGCACTGACTTTGGGTTGCCTGTTACGAAATCACAACTTTAGATATTTTGACAATGATTTAGGTTATTCTACAGGCCTATGACATTGAATTCACTAAATTGTTAGTTATGCGCAATGTTTGGGAATATTATGGATAAAAGCAATTAGCCTATATGCAACGACCTTTGCTGAACATTTTAGTTTGATTAAAGTATGCCTGAAGGACTAGAAATCAACAGAGTTTCTTCCCAAAATATATCAAAGTAATTGGGAGATATCCACACACATTACCAGAGTGGGTGAAAACGCGCTTTGGTGATGAAATTGAACTTCCTTATGTTATAAAATACATTTTACAAAGACAAATATGATTATTCATGTTCTGAATCGTTCGGTACAGTCTTTCTCTAACATATCATTATGTCCAAAATTCGGATTTAATATAATGCATCTGATAATAAACACCAAGCTCTGTTGACTTCAAAGTTGTTTCCGCGGGTCGCAAAATTAACATGACACGAGCTGAATTAAATGTAAAAGGTTTTGAAAATAAAAAGCTTTGTAGCCTACGCTCAGTACTCAGTTGAGATTTCACAGAGATAGGCCTACGCTCTTCGAAAAACAGGAATTTTGAATTAATATGAAAATCGTAGGCTATACTAAAATATAAAAATACTACATGTCATGTCTCAAACGCGATATCCATTTTACCTCTATACTGCGGATTCGAGAAGAAAGATGAGTTCAACGGGAAAGTGAGCCTGTCAAGTAGTCAATTGGCTGGATTCTGTGCAAGAATTAAGGCTCTGACACGATGCAATTTTTCCAGATTTTTGACCACTTTTTGCTCTGGCCTCCATTAATTTAGTCACCGTAATTCTGGCCACCCTACAAGGAAAAAAACTCCAATAATGTTTGATCGGATTGTGACGGAGACATGAGGTTTGGACCATTGGTTTTCTTAGAGGAATATCTACACAATTAACATATTTTACTCATTGGTCAAAATATGCGTTTTTGATTGGACACCCTACACACATCGTGAAAAAAAAAAAAACTTGAATTGAAACTATTTCAGATTATTTTGTTCCTTTACGCATTCCTCTGGGCTATATTGTATGTACGAATTCTTACATACCTTTTACCAAGTTACAAAAACAAACCTCATGCATTTAATTAAAAAGTCGATCTTTCCCCAAAACAATTCCTAGCAGCATCTAATCAGTCGGCACGTGCGCTAAACGTCACGTTAAGGCTCCCCATGCATATCAACTCCTTATTTGTTGTTTTCTCTGTTGAGAACTCTTTTCGTATGTCAAATGGAAATGCCTGCCATTAAAAAATCTCTCTTCGAATACTAGGAAAGTGCGCATGTTGAAATCAAATTATAAGACGTTAAAATGTGAAATAATAATAAAGAACTTTACTTTATTTACATCATTAAGCACGCGACATCATCCAGTCCGCATCTGTTCTTTATGAAGTGATACATTTGTTTCCAGCAGCAATTATGTGAAGTGACTGTGAGCCTGTTTACAGGAAACGGTGAAAAAGTGAAAGTGTCACCTGTGAGGTCTGTGGTTTACACAATTAAAATAAATAATCCCTTTTTGAGATTAGTTGTTATTAATCTCACAAAAAGGCTACTAATAAAACATATATAATAAATGACCATCAATTGAGAACAATTTAATAACCTATAATTAAAAGGGAAAACAGTCTAAACAATCATGGCTCTCAACCAAGCAAATAAAATATAGCCTAGGCAAGGCCTACTTTTGGGAATGGTTTAATTGAATGCGTTAGCAAGATGATTAGCCTATATGTTATCAAATAGCCTAAACCTATATTAAAGAAACTGATTTTCATAGATTTTTTTGTATTTTATTTTCATTGTGATTTAATCATAACTCTTACATTAAAAAGTAATAACAATTGTTCATTTAATGTGACATCTGATCGTGTCCTCATAATCAAACGGTTGGGCTATATGAAAGGGATATGCGGAAACAAATCCCACAGGGTTGTTCTTCTCCAAGAAAAGGAAAACGGCCAATTATTTTTCCGTCTGAGGTAACGGGTGATGTATAACGAAGAGACAGCTCGGGAAAGAGCCAGAGCGTTATCTAAATTCCTTATTTAGGCACGCGCCGACACGTGATACCAAAATACAACGAGGACATATATAGAGGCTTACTCTCCCGTTTGGCGCAGTGGTCTAAGGCACTGCATCGCAGTGCTAGCTGTGCCACTAGAGATCCTGGTTCAAATCCAGGCTCTGTGGTAGCCGGCCGCGACCGGGAGACCCATGGGGCGGCGCACAATTGGCCCAGCGTCGTCCAGGGTAGGGGAGGGAATGGCCGGCAGGGATGTAGCTCAGTTGGTAGAGCATGGCGTTTGCAACGCCAGGGTTGTGGGTTTGATTCCCACGGGGGGCCAGTATGAAAAATAAAAAAATTATGTATGCACTCACTAACTGTAAGTCGCTCTGGATAAGAGCGTCTGCTAAATGACAAAAATGTAAAATGTAAATGTTGGCAGTGGGTGCCTGCCTGCCCCAAGAATAAAAACACAACACTGCCACTTCGCGTTGACACCCATAAAGCCCATTGGCCGCTTATGCCACTTTTGCACATTCAAAAATGGTCCCAAAAGTAGCTTTTCAATTTGTCCTTTTTATTTGGGGGTCTGATAAAGATAACATAAAACAATGTTATGTTTGAGTAGATATTATGTTCCATTCCTTTTAGAAAAGAATTGGTTTAAATAGGTTAATATTAGGCTATTCCACAAACATACACAAATAAAAGGGGTAGGAATTATATCCCTATTATGAAATGTGTCCCCTAAAACTAACATCCCCCAGAAAAAAAGGTTTAGGCATACAAGGAACTCGATTATGTTCACTGCTCACTGTGAAGTATTGTAGAGATAGATGTGAGAATGAACCTAGTGTGGAGCAGCAGCAGCCTTGTTTCATGGTGGGACTATCTGGGACAGCACTCTTTAGTGATTGTGCAGAGCAAACAGAAATAACATCAGACTACTATAATTCCAATGCTGAAATTGGACAATACCATTTACCTAATGCTTATGGGTAAAATCACGGTGGAAGCCAAGCCAGAAAAAAACAAAAACATAATACAACCTATGTGTTATGATAATTGCGTTGTTTGGTCTTTAATAATTTAGTTAATATGCCACTGGGCAAAAACTGGTTGAATCAACGTTGTTTCCAAGTAATTTCAACCCAAAAAATCAATGTGATGACGTTGATTCAACTAAATTGATTTGCAAAAAGTAATCAACATAAGGCCATTTCGTATTTTTTTTCTCCCAACTTTTAACCTAAATCCAATGACATGGTGAAATGTTTTGTTGATTTCATGTTGAATTCACTTTGGTTGACAACTCAACCAAATGTACATTAAAAGATTGAAATGACTTCTGTGCCCAGTGGGTGATATAGAGTACCACAGTATGAGTCATAATACCCATAAAACCTAGCGGCCAAACAGGGAAATGGTTCCAATCGTTTGCATGTAACAAGCATATTGCATGTAACAAACAGTTACATGACCTACCTACAAGTTGATGTTTCGGAAAGAAAACAGGAGCTGCCTGCAATATTTTAGCACCATTTCAACTTCAACATTTCGACATTATCAAGTCACCTACAGTAGCCAATGCTTAGTCAGTGACAACTTAAAGATACCAAAAACAATTTAGTCCAATCAACTTAAGCTAAATATCATGTCGCTGTCCATGTTAGGCTACTGATTTCTCTCTCTCTCTCCATGTGTGTGTGTGTCAGGGCCGCCTCTAGCCTTTTGGGGGCCCTAAGCGAGATTTGGTTGCCCCGCCCACACACACATTTTGCCATGGGGTGGAGAAAATGTTGCAGTTTTAAAGCTAACTTCCTGCAATTCTAGTCGCCATGACTTATGCCATGTTCATATGATATCTGTGTGATAATGACTAACAAAATCAATGGGGGCCCCTTGGAGGACAGGGCCCCTGAGCACATGCCCTGCTTGCCTGGTTGGTAATTTGGTGATGATTAGGCCCACTACAAGGTTTAGTTTCCTGGCTAGACTACCTTACCTAGCAATCCATTTTGTGTGACTGACACAACAAGGGGAAAACTGCTGATGCACTACCAAATGTCAAAATTGCACCTTGTGTATTCTACTTTTCTAAATCTCAATAGTAGGCTAAGCTGAGACCCTGACTGAGTTCGTATTTAGTTTTTGGTCGGGCGCCCCCTAGCGGCCGCGGTGCCATATGCGCAGCGCATAGTCTTCGTAAAGGAAGCAGACTTGTGTGACGAGTACTGAGGATACGAAGAGGCAGGACGCAGACGCAGGAATCAACAATGTAAAGGTTTACTTAACACTGAGCAAGAGAACAACAAAGAGCGAGTACACAACAAGACACTAACAATCACACACAACACAACACTGAACAGTCCAGGGCTATATACAGTTGAAGTCGGAAGTTTACATACACCTTAGCCAAATACATTTAAACTCAGTTTTTCACAATTCTTGACATTTAATCCTAGTAAAAATTCCATGTCTTAGGTCAGTTAGGATCACCACTTTATTTTAAGAATGTGAAATGTCACAATAATAGTAGAGAGAATGATTTATTTCAGCTTTTATTTCTATCATCACATTCCCAGTGGGTCAGAAGTTTACATACACTCAATTAGTATTTGGTAGCATTGCCTTTAAATTGTTTAACTTTTCGGGCAGCCTTCCACAAGCTTCCCACAATAAGTTGGGTGAATTT